TTTCTTTTCTTTTCTTTTCTTTTCTTTTCTTTTCTTTTCTTTTCTTTAATTGGATCATATAGGTGCGAGATGAAAAACTTGCCTCATTCCATAAAACTGCTGTGGCTGATCCCATAAGCTCCCGGACAAAGTGCAATGAAGGCTGCAGCGTGGACACCCGAGAGAAGATGGGGGAAGCACTGCAGCTGTGAGCCCTTGCCTTTCTTGGGCTCCTGAGCATCCTCAGGCAGATGTAATATTTAATCTGTGTGCTCTCATATTTCACACAGCATGATCTGCTGCTGCATGGGATAAGGATGCCCTTGCTCCTTCCAACTTCTGCTAATTAAGGTTTTCCCTTCAGCTGACATGCCCTTCAGGAAAGGTATTTTAATTCATCCAGCAGGCTTGAGTAAATGGACACTCCTCTGGCAACCTGTCCAGCCTGTCCCTTGCGTTGTTCCATCTTACTGATGTGATGCACAGGCGCTGCCTTCCTGGAGACCTTTTTTTTCACCTCCAACATATTGAATAATTTCTCCATCAGGAAGGAAAGTAACTTGCAATAACGAACCATCAGCAGGTATTTTAGATTGCTTTAATGGGTCGCATTGATGGAACCTATGCTTTTTGCTGGGAAGATCACACTTGACCGTAACCTTAATTCATGTTTATGTCAGAAGAAAACATGCAGTGGAGATGGCTCAGAAACAGTTTTCCAGCCAGATACGAATGTGCAGAGCTTCTAAAATTGTGCTGAGTTTTGGAAAAAAAAAATTTAAATAAAAACCAGATGTCAAGGATGGCCCTCTCTTGCCTAGAGAAGTTCCTTAAAACTGCTTTCTGTCCTGATATGTAACCCAAGAAAGGCTGTGCTCATGAGCTAGTACTGTGCAGAGAAGAGTGTCCCTAATGTTATTTTAGGAGCATCTTTATCATATTATCTTTACCCTTATAGTCCATCCCTGGAAGCATTCAAATCTAGGCTGGATGCAGCCCTGCTTCTTGATCTAGTGGTTGCCAACCCTACTCACAGCAGGAATTTGGAACACAATGATCTTTGAAGTCAATTCTGTGCCATTCTGTGATATGCACCTTTTCTTAATGCTCTGCTTTCCACATGGCTGGAAGAAGTGCGTAGGCAGGAGATGCCCATAGGCAGTTTGGCTGGTTGGAGCACAGCCGAAGGAAAGAGGCTGACTGTAGATACATGAATAAAAGCAATGGATTTAAATATAATCAGTAAGGTTTGACCTTCCAGCCCCATGTGCCTGTTATTCCATGTTGGCCAGACCCAGGCTCTGCTAGAAGTGGCATTTAGGTTTTCCACAAAGAAAAGAGGTGAAAATAATATCCGAAACCATTCCTCTTGGTCAGGATGAGCTGCTCTGTCTTGTAGAAGATGAGATAAAGTTGCAGGTTTGCTTGGTTGAGATAGATAAGGGTGCAAGAGAAGAAGATGGAAAATAATAAAAATTATTGGAGCTGTCTCTGCAAAGCTTGGTGGAAGGGACAGCCATGACTAATGCTGCCTGAATGATTTGTAGAAAATGATTTCTTCGAAAAACTTTGCCATAAAGGAGGTAAACTGTCAAAGGCCACAATGCGAGTTTTCTGATGTGCTCATGAGTCAGAACTATTTAATGAGGAAATGGAGCTCCTGTCCCTGAGGCCTTGCAGCAGGTTCCCCAGGGGTCACAGCACTTCTCTGCAAGAGAGAAACTCAAGGGCTGCTCCCAGCAAGGAGAGCTTATTCCTCAGATCACCCTGTGCTACTCCAGATAATGCTGGGATGCTTAATTTCAGGCTTTCTGGGGGAGTAGATATGTGATACATGGGAGTAGACTGTGATACATGAAACCTGAAAGTAAAAGGTAGTCTGAATGTGAGCATGCTGGTGCTCCTGTAAATATTTCTGGTGGGCTAAGTCTGTGCTCACGTTGTATTTCCTTCTCTGATGTGCAGTCTCCCTCCTCACTCTCTCCTCATCACCTTAATGAGTGAATGGGTTTTTGTTTCTGGAAGTCTCTTTAAGACTTTAATTAAATCAGGAGAATGCTCTCCATGATGGTTCCCTGCTGCTTATCAAGGTTCTTAAGGCCTTGATTCATTACTCTGTATTATTACTCCAGCCTGAAATAAGCTTTAAAGACATGTTATAGGAAGAGATTAAAGTTATGACATAAACAAACTCATATGCATGTTGTTTTCACACAGAAGATGCTTTTAGTATCATATTTAATGTTCCTAAAATAACCATTGCTTATAGTGATCTTTTCTGACTGGAAGCCTTTGAAAGGATAGATATTGACCCTGTTTGATCTTGCACTGTTTGGGGCTTTTTGTTTGCATTTTGTGGCTTTCTGACAGCCCAGGCTGCCCCAGAGCCTCTTTCCATACCACTCCTGCATGGTGACAGTGCTGTTCTGCG